ATTTGGTGGCATAGTTCTCTCCTGAGTCCTGGGGAGACAGAGTCCATCAATGTGGGGGTATGTTTTGCTTCTGTTCACATTGTGTGCACTTCTATGAGTATTAGTTGGAGGATAGAATGGGCGTTTTAACTTTGGGATATTTGGTGAGATGGTTTGGATGAAGGACGGACACATGGGTTTTTAGGACCTGCTGCCCCAACACATGGCTGCAGCCTGCGATTGCCGCTTGCCAAGCTGTGTCTCATCACCTTCACCCTCCACCCCCAGGACCTGCCACCTCCAGTTCCTCAGCCCCTGACCTGCTTCCTTTCAGTCCGGGGATTCTTGAGGCACAGGTTTCACATCCACTTGTAACAAGGAATTTAAGCCATAGCATGAGGGATTTCCAGGTCTCAGACTCTGTTAAGACTCAATGAGGAAGGCATGCTTGGAAGCCAAAGAAAACCCTCCAACAGAGATGTCATTGTTTAATGACAATTAGTTAATGAGTTATCCATGAATCATCATGGCTGTGAAGCTGTGATCATCAAAACAGCATGGCACCACGCAGACATCAGCAGCCCAGAGGCAGACTCATGTGTGTCAAATAACTTATATGTGATATTTAACAAACAGAGGGGGCTCCTGGTCAGAGGAAGAAGGACTATTTAATAAAAAGCATTAAAACAATCACTTCACTCTCTGGAGAAAATCATTTGGATCCCCATTTACCCTCCCACACTTTCCTGGGTTGATTACTGTCCCCAAAACTCATGTCCACCCAGAACCTCAGAATGTGACCTTGATTGGAAATAAGGTCTTTGCAGATGTAAAGATCTCAAGTTGAACTCATACTGAATCTAATAATTGGTGTCTATATAAGAAGAGGCAAGGACACAGAGAGGTGCACCATGTGACAATGGAGAAAGATATGGGAGTGAAGCATCTACAAGCCAAGGAACACCAAGTGTTGGTGGCAGCCCCCGGAAGGTGGGAGAAAGGCCTGGGATGGATTCTCCCCCAGAGCCTCCATTAGGAGCCAGCCCTGCTGACATCTCGGTTTTGGACTTTTTCAGAATGTGAGACAATCAATTTTGTTGTTTTAAGTCACCTAGTTTGCAGTCCTTTGTTACAGCAGCCCTAGGAGACTCAGACACCCTTTGAAATAATTTCCAGGTGGATAAAGGCTTAAATGCAAAGCATAAATCTGGGCCCTGGCTGGTGTTTCTCAGTGGTTAGATTGTCAGCCTGCGCATGGAAAGGTCTCAGGGTCGGTCCCCAGTCCAGGGCACATGCCTGGGTAACAGGTTCAATCCCCCCTCAGGGCCTGTGTGGGAGGCAACCAATTGATGTGTCTCTCTCACATAGTTATTTCTCAATTTATCTCTCTCTCTCTCTCTCTCTCTCTCTCTCTCTCTCTCTCTCTTTCTCTCTCTTTCTCACCCTCCCACCCTCCCTTCCACTCTGTAAAAATCAATGGAAAAAAATATCCTTGGGTAAAATTTAACAAAAGGAATAAATCTGGGAAGGGAAGGTATAGTCCTATGTTAATCAGATTTGGGGAAGGAATGGGCAGTAGACATAAAAATAATAATAAACCACAGATCTGACAGCCTGAAAAATGTAAAATATTTGTCTCAAAAAACACCGTATTCAAAAGTAAATTGATATGAATTAGTTTCATCAAACATGGCAAAGAGTTTAATAGCCTTCCTATACACAGAGCTCCTCTAACACAGTAAGCTCCCCCAAAGCAGTAGTATGCTTCAGTGGGGAAAATGGGCAGTAGACATGAACAACTTACAAAAATAGAAAAACAGCTGTTCAATAGACATAATTTTTTAAAAATACAGCCTGACAAAGTAATATGCGTAGCAAGATGCTCTTTTGTGCCCAGGGAGGGTCTGATCAGTGGAGTGTTACAGGCAAAATGGTGCCACCTGAATGGAATGAGGGCTGCTGGGCCAGAAGGTGCGTCCTGAGATTTTGCACCAGGAACATTATTGCCTGGGACCTGGCAGAGGGATTTGAATGACATGCCAACCTGAGGTTAAGGATGGCACCACAAGGAAGCAGCAGTGGGCAGGGTCTAGGGGTAGCTGAATGGTTGTCTGGCTCACTGGGGAATGTTACGTCCTCCCGTGGGTCGGGGTTCTCGGCAGCTTCTCCATGGTTGGGCTGGAGAGAACCTGCAAGGTCTGGTCTCTGAGCCTGGCCTTGGGCTGGGTTGGGAGTGGCCACAGGGTGCCATTCAGCCAGTGTGGAGACGGAAGAGTGGCTGTGCTGTATGGACCCCACTGACCAGGGGCTCTGAGGACCAGCTTGGGATGCCCCCAAGGGGCTTTGTGCTGGGCCACCCACATCTAGACCGATGCATCCAGGGGCTCCATGGGAAGACCTTCTGGCTGGCTGATGAGAAGAGACAGCCGTTCTGGGGACATGGTGACAGCAGATATGATGTGGTCAGTGAGAGGAGCAGAGAACTAGCCTTTTGGATGTTCCAGGCAGGGCAGATAGAGGTGGCTGTGTTGGGCTGGAGGTGGGGCAGGTGTCCTTGGACATGAGCACAGTCCCTGAGGGGGTGCAGTGCAGTCAATGTCCTGGGAATGGAGCCCGGGGGCAGGGCAGGCATAGGTGATGCTGGCTGCACAGCAAGTGAGCAGGTCTGGGAGAGGCTGCTGGCAGCAGGTGTGACTAGTGGGAGCTTGATGGTACTTTCTGGGGAAAGGGCAGTGGTTGCATGTGGGAATGGGGAAGTCTGGCTTCAGGCTGCGCGGAAGCAAGGAGGTGACCGGGCTCTACCCTGGGCTGGAGAAGGATTTTTTAGTGTCTCTGGCTTTAAGGCAACGTGAGCTGTTTGCTGGGAGGGTCCTCCCCCTAAAACCTCTGGGAAAGTGGGGGGAGGGGGCTGCTCTGGGAGGAGAGAAGGGCCAGGTGAGGCCGGGCTAAGCAAGTAAGGGCCACCAGACAGGTCTGGCAGAGGAATTCCCAGGATGCAGACATGGTGGGCCTGGGTGGGCTCTGACAACGGCTAGAGGCATAGCTGCAGCAGGGCAGTCCGGTGGACCCTTTGGTGGACAAGCAGCCTCAGCTGGTTTTGGCCCTACCCCTTTTCAAAGGCTTTTCCCCTCCCTGCAGTCCTGGCTATCAGCAGCTGCCTGGAGCAAGCTTTATCTGCTTCCTCCTGGCCCGGGGTGGGGCATACATCAACTAGTTCTTTAATGCCCCTCGTCCCCCAATCTCCAGTCTCTGAGGGCAGGGTCTCCTGCTACCCCCACCAAGGGCCCCGGAGCTGCAAATGTCTCCTATAGGCCTCTGTTCACAGTGGGGCTCCGAAAGCGCCTGATTATCAGCTTTCCCTGGAGGATGTGGGATGGCCCTGAGTGCCGCTGGTCGTGTGGCCCGCAGCCCATCCAGGCCTCGGCTGGACCCTCGTCAGGGCAGGTGGTGAAACTGCAGGAGCAGGATCATGTCACTCGCCTCGATGGCTTCTTGTTTAGGCTGGTGTCTGCTGGAGGGAGAAAGGCTCTGCTTGTGACCTCTCCACCACCTGCATCCAGGCAGCTTGAGAGTGAGACAGTCCAAAGCCCCCAGCCTGTGAGCTGGTTCACCCTTCCGGAAACTGTGGTGCATATCAGCCATGTCTCCACGAGTGCAAGTCACAGAGGTGTCATCTCTGCCCAAAGCCCTGGCTCTGTGCGCGCACGCACACGTGTTCGTGCATATGAAAGTGCTGTGCACATGTGTCCATGTTTGTGTGCTTTCATATATGTGCATGCGAACATGCACGCATGTTCTGTGTGTGAGTGCATGAGTGTGGGTGTGTTCATATGAGTGTGTCCATGCATGTGCGTCTTTGTGGTTTATACTCTCTCACATTTGTTTGCATATCAGTTTCTCTCACCGGGCTTTGAGCCAAGTTTGGTTTATCTTTGTGTCCTCAGTCATGCTTAGGTGGCACACAGTGAGCACGCACCTGACCCACACGTATTTATGCCTCTTACTCCGAGACACAGTCACTGTTGCCAACATGGGCTGCAGTTTATCTTTTTCTGCAATGTCTTCAGAAACAAATGCATTTTTTGAAAATAAACTTTTCCTGTTGGAGTCATTATAGATTTACAGAAAAGTTGCAAAGACAGTACTGAGAGTTCCCTGTATTCTTTCCGCACCCTCCCCTACTGTGATCATCTTACATTATCAGGCACATTTGTACAGTTAAGAAATGGACATTGATACACTGCTATTAACCAACCTCCTGACCTTATCGGATGTCCCCGATTCTTCCATTTGTGTTCTTTTTCTAATCGAGGACCCCATCCTGGAAACCCCGTTGAATTTAATGATCACGTCTCTCTGTCTTTCCTTGTTGCTCATAACCTTGGCGGTCTTAGGAGCACTGGCTGGGCATCTATCTGATGTTCTCCATAGGAGACTGGGGTTGTGGGTTCTAGAAGCAAATACGTTCTGAGCAGTTTTCTTGAGTGAGTTTTTGGGGGCTCTTCCTGACTTGGTCCTCCTCATTGGAATTTGGGGTACCCTGTTGTTTCAGAATCCCTGAGTTTCAGGGTAGGTTCTTGCTGTCCCAGTATATTGTGGGGATGTAACCAAGGCCTGTGGGACCAAGTCTTCATCTTGGAGAGCTGGCGGGGGAGATTTTGTCCAAGAGGAAAAGCCAGGAAGGATGTGGACTGGGAAAGGCTTAGCTGAGACATGACTGTGATCATAGAGCTTGCAGGGTGATAGGCTGACCCTGGGTGAGGAGGGATGGGGGCTGCGATGGTGTAAACTCCAGGGGGGGGGCTTGATCTTGGGGAGGAGGGGGTGTGGTGCTGTCACTCTGCAAGAGTCACAGAGGTCACCTTTAAGGACAGACAGAGGCTCTCACCACCTGTTGGCTTTTCGGGAGAGCCCTATCTGGCAGGATATTCAGGCCTCAGGTTTGGGCTGTTTGTCTAGGTTGGGCGTCAGTGTTTCCTAACACAACTACCGTTCTGACGGTGCTACCCCCTCCCTTTCAGCTCCAGAAGCGTGCCCTAAGCCTGGGAGGCATGCTGAAGCCAGGCGGCTGGCAAGATGAGTGTGAACGAGGCAGGCAGCTCCGGCTGCCAGAGGCAGGGGGCCTATCACCTGCATATCTACCCACAGCTGGCCACCAGCGAGAGCCAGGCCTCGTGCTGTGTGACAGCCACCAAGGACAGCACTACGTCCGACGTCATTCAGGACGCTATCACCAGCCTGCGGCTAGATGGAACCAAGCGCTATGTGCTGGTGGAGGTCAAGGAGACAGGCGGGGAGGAGTGGGTGCTGGACGCCAACGACTCGCCTGTACACCGCGTGTTGCTGTGGCCTCGACGGGCACAGGACGAGCACCCGCAGGAAGATGGTTACTACTTCCTGCTGCAAGAGCGTGACTCAGATGGGGCCATCAAATATGTACATATGCAGCTGATGGCCCAGGCCACAGCTGCCCGGCGCCTGGTGGAGCGCGGCCTCCTGCCCAGACAGCAGGCGGACTTTGATGACCTGTGCAACCTCCCTGAGCTGACCGAGGCTAACCTCCTGAAGAACCTCAAGCACCGCTTCCTGCAGCAGAAGATCTACACGTATGCGGGAAGCATCCTTGTGGCTGTCAACCCTTTCAAGTTCCTCCCCATCTACAACCCCAAGTACGTGAAGATGTACGAGAACCAGCAGCTGGGCAAGCTAGAACCACACGTGTTCGCGCTGGCCGACGTGGCCTACTACGCCATGCTCCGGAAACGTGTCAACCAGTGCATTGTGATCTCGGGTGAGAGCGGCTCAGGCAAGACACAGACCACCAACTTCCTGATCCACTGCCTCACCGCCCTGAGTCAGAAGGGCTACGCCAGTGGTGTTGAGAGGACCATCCTGGGCGCCGGCCCCGTGCTAGAGGTGAGCAGGGCAGTCGTCAGAAGGGGCCTTAACATGGGGGTTTTATTATTGCGAGAAGATAGTTTGTTATACGCACGGTTCCCTAGAAACAGGAGCTTTGCTAGAAACAGGGCCACACGAGGAGGCACCAGGGCTGGTCAGGAATAGGCAGGAGTGAGGGGGAATCATGGACAAGAGTCCCTATTGTGATTTTCATGGGAAGGGATGGGTGAGGCAGGGTGAGCAGGTTTAGGATTGGCTGGTTTCAATCATTTGAGGGCTCTTGGACATAGCGGCTGCCCAGGTTGTCTGGTATCTGGCCCGGGGGTGATCAGGGCAGGTGGATAGTGGTCCTGAGTGTGAAAGCTTGATAGGAGAGGTGGTAGGAGTGTGGGCTCTGACTGGGTGGGTTTGCATATGGGAGATATGCTCACAGGCAAGACCTTTGCCCTCTCTAGGTATTGGCTAACCCGAGGAGGGGCAATCCCTCCAGGGTCAGGTAGGCCCCAGATGTCAAAACATCAGAAGGTAGGAAAAAACAAAAGGCCTGATATACACTGTTGACGTCTGGGAGGCAGCAATCTGTACTCCATGTCCCAGAAATAAAAGGATGGCATGTCCAAACCGAGCAGTTTCCTGTGGGGCTGTGGCATGGAAGAAAGCCATCAAGGCGTAGTGCAGGCCTGGGGGTGAGGGATAGTGAGGCGAGGAGGGGGCCACCGGGCAGCGCTATATGGTCAGTGGGGGCGGAAACCCTCTCGGCCCTCTGTCCAGTATCCCATGGCCCAACCCCGTGAAAGCCATCGATGTGTTGCTATGCATAAGCCCTCTGGATGCAGGGGCAGCAGAAATGACCGTGCACTGTTCCTCACTCTCGGGTTCTTAAGACAAGAGGCATCCACATTTCAGAACATGGCCCAACTGTCATCGCCGGGGAAGGTCAGGGCATTGTGTGGCCGAGTTTGTGTGGCTCTGGGTTTGGCATCTAGGACTCTTTCTTCTTTAACAAAGATTTTACAATAAATAATTATATAAATAATTTTAATCTTAAAGATTTAATTTTATCCATTATAATATAAATTATTGTTTCTTAGAGCAGTTTTAGATTTATAGCAATAATGAGCAGAGAGTACAAGAGATCCCTAAAGTCCACAGTTTACTTTAGGGTTCACTCTGTGCTGTACATTCTGTGGATTTGGACAAATGTACAGTGTTCCATATCCACTGTTACAGTATCATACAGAGTAGTTCCCCTGCCCTAAAAAACCCCATGCTCCGCCTGTTCACCCCTCTCCCCCTCAAACTTCTGGCAACCACTGATCTTCCACTGTCTCCCTCATTTTGCCTTTTCCAGATTAGTTTCCTCCTCTCAGCGATATGCGGGTAAGATTCCTTCATGTCGTTTTGTGGCTTGAGACTTCATTTGCCAATTAACACCTCATTATCTGGATGTGCCATAACCTGTCCATCTAGACCCCCCTCTTTGAGGGTGCAGAAGCCTTGCCTACCTTGGAGCGTTGACCTCCAGCTTCTGCCATTCCCCCCAAGCTGAGGGCCTAAAGCAGCTACCTCAGGCTGCTGTGCAAATTCACTGAAATCACATCTAGACTGCGCCTGCTGAATACATTTCAGTTCCTCTTCCTCCCTGTTGATCTCTGAGATCATCAGCAAGAAATTCATTGGAAATGGCTGTGTGGCCTGGCCCTATGCCTACATGGATAGTCTGTTTCTGTCTTCTCCTGTATATGTAATGTAAAGATTATCATTTTCTGTGTAAATGTTTTAAAAATTACTGAGTAACCCAGCTGCAGAATGAACACTTTTTTCTTTAATGCTGTGTACTCTGTGTGCATTCCCTCCTCTATTCTGATCACTCATTCATTCTACAAATATTTCACACACATGTCTGCCATGTGCCAGGCAGGCAGTGGGCTATGTGGTGGCCACAGTGGACACAAAGGCCTGCCTGAGGAGAACTGTTGCCTCAATGATGAGAAGGCAGGCAGAGCTAGGAGCCAGTAAGAAGCCAGCAGGCCCAAGGAAGGATTGAGGGGTTAGGAGGTGAGAGGTGATCCTGAGCTGGACCTACCTGGAAAGAGGGGGGATCCATACAGGAGGAGGCACGGCCAGTGCAAAGGCCAGGAGGCTGGACCATGCCCGGTGTGTTGGAGGAAAGGCAAGGGCCCAGGAGTGGGGTGAGTGGGAGGCAGTGGGGACAGAGAGGTGACAGGGAAAATACTCATGGCCTTGTGGGCTGCAGGGACGGCCCTGTGTGACATGGGAGCTAAGGAGGGTGTCCCAGGTTCAATTTGGCTTCATCCCAGCTCTGAAACACAGCTGTGGTGAAGCCAGTGGCCCCACCGTCCTCCCAACAAGTATCAGGAGCCGTGACATGTGCTCTAGGCCAGTGCATTAGTTCCTGGCACCAGTGTCCTGACTGAAATGCTGCAGGCTGTCAATGACGTTAGACATTAAGAACATCAATGAGAGGGCAGACCCAGTGTTTACCAAGTGGAGCGTTTTGCCAAGTGGTCATTCACCCCTCATGGAACCAGGCAGGCAGGTGGGTGTGCCCATGCTTGGTGAGGACGCTGAGCCCTGAGGTATCAACATGACATGGCGAGGAGGCAGGATTGGCATCAGGGTGTAGTTTCCTCTTCTAGCTAAGGACCATCCAGGGCTCCTGGATGAGGTTCCTGTGGCTGCCATAACCAAGTACCACAGACGGGGAGCTTCAAGCAACAGGACTTTAAAGTTGTCCCTCAGTATCCATAGGGGACTGGTTCTAGGACCCCTGGAGACACCAGAGTTCTCAGATGCTCAAGTTCCGTCTATAAAATGGCATAGTGATTGCAGATAGCCTATATTTACACAGAGGCTACAGCCGGGGATGCCTGTATATCACTTCATTCACGTGGATTCAGCATAGTGCTCGGTACCTGGCAAATTCAGGTTTTGCTTTTGGGAAATATTTGGAATTCTTTCCCCCTAATATTTTTGATCCTCGGTTAGTTGAATCTACAGGTGCAAACCCCATAGATTCAGAGGGCCGACTCTATTTTCTCACAGCTCTGAAGGCCAGAAGTCTGAAATGCAGGTGTTGGCAGGGCCACGCTCCCTCCAAAGGCTCTAGGGGAGGACCCGTCCTTGTCTCTTCCAGCTTCTGGTGGCTCCAGGCATCCCTTGGCTTGTGGCTGCATCACCCCAACCTCTGCCTCTATCGTCACATTACCTTCTCTTCTTGTAAAGACACCAGTCATTGGATTTAGGGCCCACCCTGACACAGGATGACCTCATTCTAATTACATCAGCAACAACCCCATTTCCAAATAAGGCCATGTTTACAGGTTCTAGATCAGGACATGGACGTGACTTTTGGGGACATGTCCAGAACACCCCCCACTGAGTGACAGCTGGCAGTGTCTGAGGCCTTCTTCCCTGAGGGCCACCTGGCTCAGCAGTCATCCTGGAGGCCCACAGTGTCTCCCATCGGCCTCCTTGCTCCTCCCCTGCAGTTGCCTCAAGGGATCTTGGCACATTCTTGGAGTGCCGTTAGTCACCCTCTGTGGCAGGCATCTGCACCCTGTGAGTCAGATGCCTCTGACCTGGCTGCCTCCCTCGAGCCTCGGCAAGAGCCAGCACAGCCAAGTTTCCCCAGCAGTTAGAATCTGCTGGAGGGCGGTGCTCTGCTGGAGGGCGGTGCCCACACCAGCTTCCAAAACTGGCTTCAGCCAAATCCACATCAGGGCCATAAACATGCTTCCTGGGGCGACCTTTTGGAAAGGGAGAAGGTTATTTTAATTTAGAGCTGGGGTTCCCAGTTGAGGCACCACTAGTGTCTGGAGCCAGGTCATTCTCTGTGGGGGACATCCTGTGCACTGCAGGGTGTTGAGCAGCAGCCCTGGCCTCTACCCACCAGGTTCCAAAAGCAACCTCTCCCCAAGTTATGACAACCAAAAATGTACCCAGACATCACTAATTGTCCCCGGGGGGCAGAGTCTTCCTTGGGTGAGAACAGCTGTCTAGAGTCACAGCGTGGGATCCCACGAGAACAGTCACTGTTTCTTTAGGTGTCAACCATTTTGTCCATAAGTAAGTCCCAGCCATCCTGTGCTAATCCAACAGGCACTTTCTAATAACGGGAATGATTTATCGGCCTTCGGACCCACTTGGGTCTCAAGCTTCAGGTGCCACAGTTTCCATGTGTCATCTCTCTGAGCCCTCGAAACAGCTCTGCTTGTTCTAAAGATGAGAAAACAGAGCTGCAGAGAGGCACACTAGGATGCAAGTGTCCGGGGCTGCCATTATAATGTACCACCAGCTGGGGAGCTTAAGACAACAGGAGTCTGGAATCAAGGCGTGGGCAGGTTGGCTCCTTCTGGAGGCTCTGAGGAAGAACAGAGCCAGGCCTCTCTGCCGGCTTCTGGGAGCTTCCAGCAGCCCTTTGGCATTACTTGGCTTGTGGCCGCATCACTGCAGTCTCCTCCTACATCTCCACGTGCTTTCTCCCCATGTGTCTCTGTGTCTCTACTCTCCGTTCTCTTAGGAAGACACTGTCATTGGATTTAGGGCCCACTCTAAATCCAGGATGAGCTCACCTTTAGATCCTTACCCTTTGTGCAAATAAGGACCCATTCACAGGTTCCTGGGGTGAGGACTTGGACATATTTGGGGGAGGGGGCAGGGAGACACAAGTCAACCCACTCTAGTCTGGGTTCTCCTGGCCACACAGCAGGCAGCCATAGCTGGACCAGGGTTCAAAGCCAGCTGGAGACGAGCCTGAGTTCATGGTATCTCCCTGCATCCCCATGAAGGATTCCCTCCTCACCTTGGCCGAAGATCGGCACCACTGGCAGTGTCTGGTACTTTTTACAGCTCTACAAAAGGAGAAGTTGAGTTGTTTTGAGGTTTGAGTGTCACCAGGCGCCACCTCCCTGCTGCACCCCCCACCCCCATCCCCCGGACGCGGGTTGCAGTCTCACTGTGCAATTCTGACCAGAAAACAGGAAGGGGGCACTGTG